AGATTTCCACCGCCGATTTGATCCAAATTTCTTACGAGATTTCCACCGCCGATATGATCCAAATTTCTTACGAGATTTCCACCACCGATCTGATCCAAATTACGTTTCGCACCAAACTTAAAGTTACTCAGATCTCTGACCAGATTTCCACCACCAATTTGATCGAGATTTCTTAAAGAACGTTCGTTATTGTATTCGTTAAAGTTTGGTACGCTTCGTACGAGATTTCCACCACCGATTTGATCCAAGTTTCGTTTGACAACACTCTGCTCGTTCATTCCGATTATTTTTTGTGCTTTGGATATTCCCGGTTCTGAAATAGAAAAGAAACAAAATTACGGCAACTCTAACAAGATGATTATATTTGTACTACCAAAATATTTCATGCAAAGTGATATGTGTTTTCTTCTTATTGTTTGTTTTCTTATCAATTCATTTTGTAGAAATTATAATCAATAGAAATGATTTTCAATGTTGCTGAATGTGCACGCGCACACGCACACACATTTATTAGACTTCATTCTTTTCAGATATTACTAAGAACAATCTTTTATCGCATTGATAAAGAAAGAAATATTCCATGAAACGTTAATTATGAATCAGGATAAGTCAGCTTCTTTTTTTTATGGCTTACCTCTCCCGAAGGATTTAGCGATGCCGGATGTTTCGTCGCGCAAGCAGGGAAATAAAAATATAAGTAATTATTTATTTGCATTTCTATCTTTCTGAAGTTTTTAATTAAAATAACGAGAGAGCTCTTACGCGTTTACGCGTTATCGCACGAAAAAGATCTTTTTATGACTCGGTTACGATATCGGTTGAAATGTTTCTTTTATGAATTTTTTCTTTTACAGGACTAATTCTTTATAGAAAAAACTCTAATTCCCTTTTCTTGCTCTGTTCTATCGATTGGAAGGAAATTTTGATCTGCGAACTATAATAAAAAAAAAAGAAAAAAAAAAAACGAAACGAAAAAGTAAAATAAAAATCTGTCTTAAAAACAGTAAACAATTTGTTGTTGCAAATAATCGTAAAATAATTGTAAAATGCACATGTACGCGTATACATGCGAATATGCGAGACTTGAACCCCAACAACAATATCGATCCTACAACATTATTCCTTTGGGAACATATATAATTTATTATAAAAGTGAGTAGAGAGAGAGAGAGAGAGAGAGAGAGAGAGAGAGAGAGAGAGAGAGAGAGAGAGAGAGAGAGAGGGATAATACATTATACATTAGTGAGTAGCGTCGTACTTAAGAAAGAAAAATTAGTAAAGACTTTGAAAGTATTCAGATAGTTAGGTAGATACCACGATAAGCCATTATCGTGCACGCAACTGCTAATTTTGTCTATCTTTTCATTTTTCTTTTTCAAGAATTGCTTTATCTCAACGGGATCGTTTTTTTCCCTTCTGAAACTAATGTAAGAGAAAAAGTAAATGAATTGTAAGTAGGAAAAATACTTACTGCGATCGTCCAAGTATTTAACAAGAAAGTCTGTCACGATTGGCTCGTAATTTTCTCGTTGTAATTGATTAGCATCGTTCTGTACCTGACAAATATTATAGATAGAGAGAGAGAGAGAGAGAGAGATAACAATAATAATATTAATATATTGGAAGCATTTCGAATCTATGTAATTATTTAAATTGTAATTATATATATTTATATATAGGATTAAAAGTAAAACAAGACACTTGAAAATAGCTTATCCAAAGTTGAATAAAAAAAAAACTGATCTCCATGCAAGGCAAGAACATTTTTGAAAAGAGATAAGATGTTTATTATGCATAGACAAAGTTCGTGCTTCGTGCTTCGAATAGGCACGCGTTTTTCAAAGTTTCACACAAATTTGCAACAGCAATCATTTGCATAAGATAAATTTGAATATTGAAAATCAAATGAATTGATATATTTGAAAGCAATTATATTACGTTGTTACCTGTAATGCCGAAATGGATGTACAAGCAACGATATATATGCTCGCGATAAAGGAAGAAATCACGCGCGTCTTCATGATCGATGTTCTATCGATCCCAGTTTAGTTAATCTAATTGAAATCTCGACAAATTCGGAGTGACGTGCCACGAAAAGTACTTGAAAGTGTCTCGATCCTCGTGCTCCCTTGAAATATATAGTGCTTCGAGTGAGGGTGAGGGTGAGGGTGAGGGTGAGGGTGAGGTTGAGGCGAGGGAGATTCGTTAAACGGGGGTAGAAAAGTAGCAACTAAACGCGTCTGCGCGATAAACAGCGCGAAGAATCACCCTTCCGAAGTATATCGTACTTTTATCACCAAATGCCTTTTAACCAAATAATCTATATATCAAGTGAACATTCAATTTTTCCTCATTATTTTTCAACTTATACATTTAGATTTGATTATTTTAGCAACTTTATTTTATCGTGATGGATGATACATTCGTATACATATATAACTTATGAGGAATACTTTTGAATTATATATTTTCCAATTACTGTTACATCCACACAATCCACGTAATCAACGTAAAATTAAGAAGAATAATTTAGGATCTATTGGTCATAGATGGAAAATATTTTCAATTAGATGAATATGCATATTATACTCTATATATTATGCTCTATATATTTTTATATTACATATATTTTAATATCCTTTCCAGCTAAATCTTCGTAGATAATTTTCAAAGACAACGACAATATCTAGAAATATTAACAAAGAGGAGTAGCTGTACTTAACAACAGATATTAAATCATCATCCTTCTTTTGATGAAAAGAACTTAACATTCTTGAGGAATGAGACATCAATGTTGTAGTTAATTACAGGAGATTAACTAGAAAGTAAGACAGTGTATAATTCTCGTATATTCTTTCATCAAACTTCTTCTTGAAAAAAGAACAATAACGAATAACAAATTGTTAACATTAACAAGAATAAAATAAAAATGATCTAATTCTTTTTCTTCTTCTTCTTTATTTTGTCAAGATTCAAAATGTATCCAAAAACATGTAATTAATCGCGCGCATCTTTTTGGAAAATGAAATCACTCTTCGATGCCAATGTGTTGGATATTTTGGACATGAAAATTGCTTATAAAAATATAAAAGAAAAAAAAAGATAGCAACGAAAACTACAAAGGAAGAGGAGATTAAATAAGCGTATGGTAAAAGTGGCTGAATAAAGGTGCTGAAAGTCAGCTGACAATCGATCGATCCTTGTAATATCTGGTGCAGAAAATAATTCAAAGCGGCCGTGAAAGGTGCGTAACAACGTGTATATTTATGGGTGTGCATGTGTACGTATGCGTGCGTGCACGAAAGCACGATGCTGGTCAGCTTTGAATACTACCAGTATGTTTTTCTCTAATGACGGCTGATAAATATCTCATAAACATATGCGATCGATAGCGATAGTTAATCTTACATTTTTCTATGTATTCTTTTTTTTCTATTTCATTAAAAAAAGATAACTTCGATCTTAATCAATTCAGGATGTTATTTAAGAGAGTGTACGCAAAAGATTACAAAATAACTTGTAATAAATAGAAATATTTTTTAGATGAAAATGGGAAGAATTATGCATTTTATATTTTATATTTTTTTTAATGAATAATATAAATTGCACAATATAATTAAACTTCAAATTTTACAAATTAACGAAATTAAACAAATTAAACGAATAATCGTACTCTTGGTAATTTTTAAGCATCACACGATGTTGATCATTAAAAACAAGATCGAATGAAATGAAATAATCTGTAAAAGAGAGAGATAGATAGAGAGAGAGAGAGAGAGAGAGAGAGAGAGAGAGAGAGAGAGAGAGAGAGAGAGAGAGATGAAGAGTGCAGATTGATTAATAGAAAAAGGGTAAAAAAGAGTAGATAGAGGTCAAAGGTGAAAGGATGCTGAAGCGTGAGATTTGAAAATATCGTCAGAAGTGATACGATACGCGATTCTTAGAGTAGATTTAAGATTTTCTAGCTACGTGCATTACTTAGCTGCTTTGATACTTGTTTAAAAATCAATATTTTCATGGTAAATATTATTAATTTATAAACATAAAAGACTAAACGACAAAAATAAATGATTTGAATTTGAAAAAGTTTTAAACTAAATCATTTAATTTGCTTTACTTTTTTTTGTATCTTAAGATTTTTGAATCGACGATAATTACTCGGAGCTATATGAAGAAACACGAAGAGAAATAAAATGTGAGTTATATTTTGACCGTTAATGGTATTAGCGACAAAAAGGAGAAGAAAGATGTGTCTTGAAGAAACATGACCTCGAGAAACACAAAAGATTAGGACTATGAAATAAACCTTGACTATGGATATCGAATAGCATTAATGGTCCTTTTGAAAAGTTGAAAGACATTCGACTTGTCTTAGGGTATCTTTATTGAAAAAATATTGTATATAAGGGAGGTACTTCTCAGCTAAGATAGCCAGTTTTCGATAGAATCTAGAAGGAGAATTATCACATTATGGAGATCAAAATTATCCTCTTATACGTAAGCATAAAAAGACCCATTTATCTAATTAACTAATATAATAAATTATGATAAATTATATAATTTCATTGTTTGCATTCGACAAATAATTCCGTAAGACATTTTTTCTTTTGTTTTTTTATATTAGTTTTATTTGAAATTTTTAGATGATCATCCTACGAGGCCTATTGGCTCAAGAAACAAATCATCATTTTTCTTTGGATCGATTGAAAAATGATTTATCCAAGGCGAAATCTTTAATGGATTATGAACATTTTCCGGAAAATCAAAATCAAAATTCATTGTTTTACAAACAAATGTATCTATCCGACGGATTGAGCGAAGTGAAACGTAGAGTAAGTCGATGAATCTTTTCATCTTTTAATTTTGATTTATTGTGTAGATAGTTTTAACGCGTAAAAAAGTTCAAGCTATGTGAGTTATGCTGACAGGGTGTTACCTTTAATATAAGCTTTTTTAACGAAGATCTATCTATCTGTAGGAGGGCCAATTTTTTTAATTTAGACTTTCTAAATATGATTTCAAAATCAGGCGAGTTAATATAAGTAATCTATTCAATATTTATGAATAATATATATATATATTTCTTTTTCGTAATGTGTATTGAAAATTATTTAGAAAGCAAAATAACTATCAAATTAATGAGAACAAACGTA